TAAAAAAAAAAAAAAAAAAAAGGAGGGAAGAGAGAACAAGAGACAGGAAAAGCACAGAGCACAGAGAGGCAAACGCCATCAGCCACAGCCTCACTGGCTGAACATCAGTGTTTTCTTCCCTGAACCATAGATATGCTGCAGAACAACTGACTTTTCACATTCAAATTACCTGTTGATTTCATAACAATGAATAAAGACCCAAATTCCAGGTGCCAGGATTTAAATTATGCTTTAGTTTTTACTTAACTGCCCAACTGGTTTTCCGTTGGAAAATCTTTTGACTAGTTGTAAAAGTTAAAGAACCCCCACAAAACCCACAAATTTATTCACTTGCTCCCTCATTAACTGGCTAAGTTTCTCTTGACACGTGGTAGTATCTACTTAATGTGGCTGTCCTTCTGGCCACCTGATCTGGTATTACTCTCTTGAAAGCCCATTAAGTGCACCCAGCAGTGACCTGTGGGACTAACTCTTCCAGAAACTTGGTGACCACTTAAGCCTTTTCAGACAAACCTGGGTCTCAACATCACCTCTTTAATCTCTGAGGTACATGACCTGGGACCAAGTCCCTTCATCTCATTAAGTCCCAGTTATAAAAAGGGAGACCACAGGTGTCAGGTTGTGAGGCAGGTGAAATAATACATGTAAAACATCAGTCACAGGCCAGGCCTACAGCAAGCACTCAGCAGACAGAGGTGCGAAGTCTCTGAGGACTGGAACTACCTCCCCTCTCTCTCCCTCAGGCTCAGGCTCCACTCTTCAGGGCTGCGCCTGCTGCTCTCTGGCCCACCTCTTCTGCCCACGGCTTTGATGGCCTCCCAAATCTGCAGCTTGAAGAAAACCAGACAGTAACTGCACACAGTGCTACCAACTGAAATTCAAGGTGTACACCCCCAAACAGGCCTTCAACCGGTCCAGACAGCTTGCCAGCCAGCTGAGCAGCTGTTATTTATTTCGCACGTGGCTGTTTCAAGTTCTCGACATCCTCCACAAATCCATCTCAATGGCCTTTTATTTGCCCTCAGCAGATGACCCTGCCCTAACTTCTCAGAAAGAGTAGGAATCATTATTAGGAAATTTTCTCATTTTCTCGCTATCGAAACATGACAGCTCCAGAAAAAGGGGAGTCCTTTCCCCTGATGGCTTACTGGCCATCTGAATCCCACCTCTATTCCCATGGTTCCTCCAGTTTTCTGTTCTAACTTAAACCCTTCTCTCCGAATTTTAAAATATTCAGTCCCCGGGGGAAAAAACATTGAGAACCCTACAATTTATTTCAGTTTTGGACTTTTTTCTTTAGATTTTGAGTTGAGGGGCCTTTTGGGAAAGAAACTGAGGACACTCCAAGCTGAAACCATGTGAGTGAGAGAGCTGAGAAAATGCAAACAGAGAAAGAAGCCAGGGCAGCTGAGAAAGAGAACCCCTCCGAGACATCGGGTAGCTGGGAAACAAGCTGCATGAGCCTCTGAAAAGAATTCGGGTCGATGTGCATGCGGTACACGCTCTGTGCTGCCCACGTGTTCTGTTCTGTGCACTTAGGACATACTGTCGCATTTCATTCTCAGATCAACCTCAGATTTCCTATGTGGCGGATAGAATATTAATGGTAATGAAAGGGGAAAGAATAGAAGATTAGGAAGGAAAATATTTGCATGAATTAGAGGTTTCCTTTTTTCCATTATTAGGTTATTATAAAATTAATTATTATCATTTATAGTTTTACAGTTTACTTTTATATTTACTCACAACTCTGTAAAGTAGGGAGGGCAAGTATTGCCATGTAAATGTTTTAAAGACTAAAAAAACGTACAGTTGACCCTTGAACAACAATGTGGGTTTACTTATACTTGGATTTTAAAATTTTACACGAATTTTAAAAAATCTTGCATAAGTGGACCCATATGATTCAAACCTGCATTGTTTAAGGGTCGACTACTCAGTTGTTTCTTCACTTATTACCTATAATTTCCCTAAATGAATATTAGTATTTGCATTTACCTCCGAAATTCTCTATAATGAAGTTTTCTTTCTCCTCTCTTTCCAAAGAAACGTATCTGAAGGGTTGTGTTCATTTCAGGTTCTTTCACTGTTGGTTCCTATAAAAAATGTTGCGGTAATTTCAAGTAATTATAACCAGAAGAAAAATAGATCCTGTAGCTTGGAACTCTAGGACAATATCCACAAAAGATTCCTGTAACACCACCACCACCAACAACAAAGGTGGAAGAGAGGTAGCCATTCTGTCTGTCTGTTACTTTGCATAACAGTATTCTGGAATCATCTTTGCTCAAGCAGGAGAAAAACAATGAGGGCTAAAATACTCAAAACACTCAAGGTGGATTTTGACAATAAACAAAATTTTAGAAATGTGCACATATTTTGACCCAGCAATTGAATTTCTGGGAAGTTATCCCTCAGATATATCCACCTTGGTATAAAATGACATAATTTCAGGGTAATTAACTGCACCGTAATTTGTAATATCAAAAGACTGCATATATTTAAATATCTTTCCAAAGGGGAATGGTTACATAAATTGGCACATCCATACAACAGAATACTATGGAGACCCTAAAAGGAAGGATACCCAGCTATATTAAGGAAAAATGGGAGAGTGGAACAATGTATAGTATGTACACTACCGCTTGTACATATTTACCTACATTCTTATATATGTATACCTCTGGGGGAATACACAAGAAACAGACCGCCCTCACTGATCTGGGGGAAGTAGTGACTGGGAGGCAAACCCTACCCTATATACATACTCTTGTGAATCTTCTGAAGTCTGGACCATGTGAATATAGCATATCTACTTAAAACATTTAGAAAAAAATGAGTTACTGACAGTTTTCCCAACTGTTTGGGAATACTTATTTGAACAAACAGAATAGAGAAGCTATTATAATATCATTTGTTCGCACATACCTGGCATTCTATGTCATTAGTTCTCATCTTCACGTCATCTTGTTTACTTATGATCTTCTGTAGCTAAAAAGATTGCAAATATGAATTTAGATGTGTCTACTGGATTTTTCACAACAACCTAAAAAACAGACACTGAGTTTTTGTTTTAAAATATATATTAGCTATTTGTTAAATATTAACTTAAATTCGTTTTATATTATAACTGCTAATATTTCTCAAATCATATAAGAAACAAAGGAGAAATAGATACGCAAGTATTAACATTATTATTATTATGATCATTTTTTTCTCCTAAGAAAGCTAGATTACTTAGTATATACATATTCTAAAGGCATCACTCTATAACAACTTCACGATTACCCTCTTTTTCAAGAGAACTTTTATTCATTTTTTTGTATCACTGAAAGCTTGTGGCCACATTTTCAAGTATACTTGTATAACTCTTAAGAAACTATATCATGTAAATGTTGTTCCTTTTCCCTTAATGCATTTATAAAGCATTAAAATAATTTAAAGACCTACATTTCTACCAATTATAAAACTGTCAATAGTACCCTGAGACTGAGCACATTAAAAACCGACCTTTCAGAGTCTTTTGTACCAATCCTCATGTAGAAAACAAATTTTTTTTAAAAAGATTGAATATAGACAAAGATCTAAAACTATGAATTCAAATCAATTAGGAGGCAAACCTTCACCCATTTTTTTTTTCTAGGCTATTTCTTTGTTAATAGTTTAAAAATTGCTACAACTAAATTCCAAATTAATTATCTCAAATTCAGCAGCTTCTACTATGTTTATTTTAGGCAAGTAGTTTATCTCTAGTTATCTAAATCCCTCAAACTTTTCAACATAGCCCATACTCATTTTAGGGAAAAAAGTTGAAAAGCTTTATACTTGTTTTATCCTTTATTTTGCAACTTGACAATCAAATAGTATATCACCAAGTTCAATACCCAGATATTTCTCCCTAATGGTGATAAGTCAAAATTTATCATATAGATAACAATTTAAAAAATAAAAATTTTACTCATAAAATGATTATAAATTTTTATCAAAATCCAAAACTTATTTTTCTTCTATTATAAGACATTTAATATAGTTGTTGTAATCTTCAATCATCACTGTTAAATAGTTACAAACAAAACAAAAATAGTAAATAGGACTAGTTCACTGAAATAAGAACTTTTTAGGAGGCTTATTATTATATTGGCTTATTCTAATGAGTGTGGGACTTAGAACAAGGGTCTGTCCTAAAGTCTACCCAATGGGTTTAATGCCAGATAAGGGGTGTTATCATGTCAGTCTTACCGAAAACATTTCTGTTTGGGTTCAGGGAGGGGGTTATAGCAAGCGGTAGTGTGCTTTGAAGATTATGGTGCTGCATATTTAGTTCTATAGTAATCACTCCATTTGAAAGATCATAAACATTTTGTACCCAGACATTCTCTTGTGCCAAAAGTTCTCTCTGGTCTACTGCGACACTTTTGTAGATGACGCTGATTCATGACAGCAATGTACGAAGTGCCACTCGTGTGATTAAAGTCCTGTTCTAAGTGTTGGGAATACTGGGGTTAAGGACAGATGCTGTCCTTACTCTCACTGAACTTATATTCTAATGGACTAAAAATAACAAAAAGCAAGTGAACAAATCAAGAAGAGAATTTCAGATAATGTCAAGTGCCACAACTAGGATAAAATCAAATAAAGTAGGGTAACAGGATTCAAGACTGTTGGGAGGGCTTACTGTTAGACAGGCTTATTCTGGGTTGTTCTCTTTGTGAACATGGCATTTGGGCTGAGATCTGAATGATTCAAAGCTACCAGAGGCATGGGGAAAGGATATTCTAGGTGGAGAGAACAAAGTTTCTTGTGGAAATAGGGGTGCTTTGTTACAGAAACAAAGAAGTAAAGTCGTTACACTTAAGTGGTAAGAGAAGCAGGAGGGCACATTCACCAAATACAAATTCTGAATGTCTAAAAAGGTACTGCCAAATTGGTTAAATTTATATTGATCCATATTTTCAATTTCAGGCTGAAAATGGAGAAAAGTATGTAGGGTTGATTTCACTTATTTTTGTTTTCAGGTCATGATAGTTTAAATTCTCAAGCAACACACTATTCCAAAATCAAGAAGAATAAATCATAGTGAAGGCTTTGTATTTATTTAAGAATAACTCTAGGGCTGGCCGAGTGGCTCATTGGTTAAGAGTTGGCTTGGGAGCGTGAGCTCTGAGCAGCAGGGCCGCAGGTTTGGATCCCACATGTGCCAGTGAAGTGGTGTCCTCCACAACTAGACTGAAGAACAAAAGGACAGCAACTTGTCTGTTCCCCTTCTCCAATTCCCCAATGCTGTTCCCTCCCCCAATTCCCCAATAAAGTCTTAAAAAAAAAAAAAAAGAATTAACTCTAGCAGGTACTTCACATGACAGAACTGTAACACCACCATATTAAGGGTACAGTCCCTACCAGTGTGAAACAAGGGGAACCACCTGTAATAACAGGAGAAATTTATACTAATAAACAGACTTGTCATCAATCTATTGTTTAAAGAAACTGTACTATGACCCTGGCACTTATCCCAAATAAGCAGCCGTGCCACCTATCAAGGTAAAGATTAAATAGATTAAGTATTACTGGCTCTGATCACCACTGGTGTTGTTTATTATTATCTGACGGAACAGCTTAAACAGATAGTTGTTAATTTACTTGTTCTTAGGGTAAAGAAGTAAGCAATACACTTAACAACAGTTTCTAGATCTGGGTGTTGATAAAACATGAACACACTACAAAACATCAAAGTAACAAACTGAAGCAATTTATATTTTAGGATAGTGTTCCAAGATTTTGTATTTATATATTTCATCATTACTTTTGCATTTGCTGAAATCACTTTATATCTATGTTCTGAGTATTAAAGTAATTTTCACTACTTTTCTAGCACTAACGGTGGGAAGAGCAATATATAAAATTTACTGGGGAAACATTCAGATAAGCTTAAAAAACAAAACAAAACAAAGCAAAACAAAATCCCTGCCCTTTACACTTTTCTGATCTGAAAAGAACTGCTTGGTTCTGTCAATAAAATTTCAGATGTAAGATGCTTGCATACTTAGGTTTCCTGATACGACCATGGAAGTGAAATAATTATTCCAATACTTAATGTAAACAATTTTTTCTCCTCTATGCTGTTATTTTAAACTGACACACAGTATCATGGTGCATGGATTATCAAGTTCAGTGTTACCTTTCTAACATCAGCACAAAGAACCTTTGTAGGTTTAGAAGTTTACCTTTATAACTTAAAACTTTAAAAAAAAAAAATAATATCAGGGCCGGCCGAGTGGCATGATGGTTAAGAACTCGCTTGGGATGCCAGAGGGCCCCGGTTCGGATCCCACATATGAGGGCCAGTGACACTGCCCTCTACAGCTAAGATGCTGAACAACAGCTCAACCTGGAGCTGGGCTGCCATGAGTCGCCGGCGACAGCGTAGGCTGCAGCCCCTTTGGCAGTGGGTTGCCATGGGCTACCGTGTGTAGCCAGCAGCCAGCGTGAGCGGCCAGCAGCCGCAGTGAGCGGCCGTCCAGAAGCCGGCGACTGATCTGCCTCACCAGGGAAGAGCACAATGATGGTGCCAACTTGGGCCAGTGAAGCAATGTCCTCCACAACTAGACTGAAGAACAAAAATGACAGCAACTTGTATGTTCCCCTTCCCCCAGTTCCCCAGCACTGTTCCCATCCCAATTCCCCAATAAAAATCTTAAAAAAAAAAAAATCAGTGACGTATCTTAACATACTCTTTTTCTTGTTTTCTTAATTCATGGGTTGATCATCCAAGGATCCTCCAAACATTTAAGGAAAATATTGTAGATTTCAGAATAAACTCAGCACATTAACTATTCTGTTTAAAAAAGTATCTGGAAGACTTTGACAGCAGGCATGCTGGAGCGTTCAGGAGCAGAGACTGGGGTGCAGGGGGTGGCAGAGGCCTGAAGAAGACCGGACACGACAACCTGCCCTCTTGCCTTTTTCAGCCTCATGTTCAATGTCACCTTATCTGCAGGCTGTCACTCGGCCCTGCATTGCTGTCACATATTACCACAGCGCATCAGAAAGCCCATCCTGGAGAGCACGCCGGAGCATTAGTGGGGCGCACGTCCACATATGACATGACGTCCAAGTTCGCTATCCTAGTGGTGTATGCATAGTGGGTACAAACTCCTAAAACTCGGCTTGACGCGTGTGACTGCCGGCTTGTCCAGGTGTGTGGGAAGGCGCAAACTAACAGCTCAGCCACCCGACAGGACCGCAGCTCTGTCCAGCACAGCCTTTCCACAGCGAACCTCTATCTCCCGTCAGAACGGCAGTCTGAGAGTCTCCGGCCATGCACCTGAGGCCGACTGCGGTGGCTGGAGGATCCCAGAGCTTTTGGACTTGTGGGGCTGGCATCTCGGCTCCTACTTGTACAGACAGACATATTTTCTTCCTGACACTAATCTCTAATTTCTCTCCTTAATTATCCAACATCCAGAAGAATTTCCCCCACTGCAACCCAGTTTGCACGTTCTGCTCACTCCATCTTTTTGCTCGGTTTCTACCACGCTTTTGAAACGGCTTCTGCGATGGCTCCCACGGACCCCCACAGGTCCCAGGGCTCTCTCGACTCGGGCTCTGCACGCTCTGGGCTCTCCCTCCCTTCTCCGTCCTCCACTTGCGACCTGCTCCTTCCAGCTGCGTCCTTGGGCCTCAGCCTCAGCGGGACCTCCTACCTGAAACCGTTTCCAAGACTCGTCGTAACCCTGTGACGTCACACACATGGCTTAATGGTGACCTTATTTAATTAATGGTCAGAACGCTTCCTGCTCCTGGCCACATTCTTGACTCCACACAGCCGCTGTCCAGGTGTGTCACCGCCATAGGGACGTCCTCCCAGCAGTTCATCAAGCTCAGCGTTTCCACACTTAGAGTTCAGATCTTTTTCAGCCCGTTTCTTTGAATTCTCCTTCCAACGAGGCAGGCTGACATGAAGGAGAGCGACTCTAGAACTGGGAGGACTTGTAACCAAATCATCACATCATCTTTTTTTTCTTCCCAACATTTACAGCCTTTATTGAGAGGCTACAGCTATTATGCCCAAATTTGGCCACTAGTATACAACCTCATTTCCCATCTAAAGTTAATGAGAATATATTTTACTTTAAATGGGACATAAAGGCAAAGTGCCGAGAATTAAAGTATAACCTTAAAGTCTTAAATTCATACAATATCAAAAGAAGCAATTCCCCAAATCATGAAAACATGATGAAATAACTACACAGAAAAAAATGGACATTTCAATCATTTCATTTTTTCCTGTATATAATGAAAACAGATGTATTTATAACTTCGGTCTTCAGAGAGCAGACTTCATAGTCACTATTCATTTAAAATAGACAAATGTTTACAAAGAACATTTAAGGTAAATTTCATAATTGCTTATAAAATGGTATTTGGAAGGTTGACCTGTATGAGGAAATAAGAGTTCTGTCAAGAGAGATGGTAAACTATAAATATAAAATATACCACAGTGTTAAAAACCTCACAGTGTTTTATAGGAAAATCAATAAAGATAACTTAATCTTTCTGGGGAAAAAATGTTTAGCATTACAAATTTAAATGTAAATTTTATATACGAATACAATAAGGAATATATTTAAACCTTGCACTGCCACATAATCATCACCTATTTTGTGTAAAACAATAAAAAAGATGTACTTTTTGAATGTGCGTACATCAAAACCAAAAGGTTAATTTTCACTTTTTCTTTTATTGGCTACTTTGGACGCACCTCGGGTGTTGGTTCCCAGAGGGCACTTTTCACAGATCGTGAGGGCACCTCTGCCCAGCGTGCCAGCCTTTTCCTGTCTGTCATGTCCTTGACCCAGCTCATGTACATGCTGGTTCTTTCCAGTCCCTGCTTTGCTGGATGCTCCTTAGGACTAACTCCCTGAGCTGCCAAATAAACCCAAACACTGAATTTAGTGTGCAAGCAGAAACTAAATCCACTTTTGCTTGCTCAAGTGGATCCAACTTCTGCAACAACTCCTTTCTAGAAACAGACATTGTGGTCTTCAGCATCTCCTCTACAGCACTGACAGAATCTTCAAATGTGGATAAACACTCATGAATCCTGCTGGAGAATTTGCTTTCCTCTACTGCCATTACAACCAACTCACTGTGTCCTGGATTGCCCAGGGCACCATCTCTAAATCGTGGACACTGCTCCTCATTTTGTAGGTTACTGTAAAGATTCAATAATGTGACACCTACGTCGGACATAACCAGTCCACAAGAAGAAAGTCTTTGATCAGTTAATGCTGTCACTATGCCAGTCAGGCTGATTCCTTCTTTCCCCTAATTTCTCTAACCCACTGGAAGCCAAGTTCCACAGCAACTCCTGACTGTACGTCCTGCTTTCCACTCACAGGTGTGAACTGGACCATGGCCATACCCCAAGGGGCCCCCTTGCCTGCAGTCTGTCCTCTTTGATTCACCTTTCAGACTGTGGCCAGGGGTGGATTTGGAAACACAGAAGTGCAATTGGCATGACAGCTGCCCGCTAGCTGCTGACTGAAATCACTTGTTATTTTCCTCCCCTAAGTATACCTGTAATTTGTCATCTGCAGTTTCCAGTTTCACTTTCTTTAAAGTGCAGTAAAAATGTAAAGGGGTGAAATTCATTAATGTCCCCAAATTATTACTTCATCATGTATTCAATATAAAAATTGAGGTACTTTACATTCCTCTCTTCTGTCCTGAATACCCAGTGTATTTTACATAATGGGACATCTCTCTTCAGATGTTACATTTCATTGGAAATACTTGATCTGCATTTAGATTTCATAAAATTTACGACTGAAAAAGTCGACTCACATCCCCAAGCTGTTTCCAACATATCTAAAACGTTCCCAATACCTGAAGTCAATGTCAGTTTTTAAATTTAGATTTTAAATGAATTAAAATAAAAAACTCAAGTTTCCCAGTCACAGCTGTATTTCAAGGGCTCAGTAGCCACATGGCTGCTGGCCACTCCACTGGGCAGCCAAGTGCATATGCTCCACTTTCTATATAATTTTAACAAGTTTTGGTGTCTGTTTCTCAGGACATTGGAGACTGGAAGGAAAAACCAGATGACTGAAACTGACATTTTTTCTCCATGAAGCACTCTGAAAGATTAAAAACAGTGACCTCTGGCACATATCCAACAGTTTATGCGTAGAGGTATTTTTTAATATTACCATCAACTTTCTTGGAACGAAGTGAAATTTACTGGTTGGATGTCCTAGTGTTACATCTTGGGAGATTTCATTTAAACATATTTTCAGCTTTTCAAATATTAGCCTTAGCAAATTCCTGGAAAATATGCATCAATTCATACCTATTGTGGCTTTTCCACTTTCCCCTATTTTTATGAAGGCCTAAGTTCTTGTTTTTCTTATCCCTTTTGTGGAAGTGGCGGGGAGGGTGTAAGAATAATTTTTAACATATTTATGAAGCCCTTTCTGTTGTATTATCATTTGCTGAAATCGTAAAAATAAAACCCTAAAAAATGTAGATGCTTAAGCTCATTTCTCTTTTTGGAATCTTATGCTGTGTTCCTTAACTGTTTCTCAAGGTTGTATTACAACAGAAAATTTAATATTTTTGAAAGTATAAATGATTTCTTGATATTTTATATATAAGCAGTGGATATAGTTTTGATTTTTGTGGAAGTGTAAAATTATCACAGATATCTGGGTGTTTTATTATAAACCAAAAATAACTAGAATTTACTTACCTTAAAAAATTCCTTTTTCTCAACCATCTCATCACCATCTGCATCCAGCATTTTAAAAGCAACATGAAACCCAGTATGGGGTTCTGCAATCAAGTGATAAATGAATAATTATTTAAATGTTGGTGAAATGCAAATTACTTGCAGATATAGTCAGATCTTCAAATTTGAAATAAGTCACCAGAAACCACATGAGTAGGTGCCTAAACAGAGAAAAAAGTGCTCTGTTCCTCTGACAATTTGAAGGGCTGATATATTTCTGTGGGTGTGCTGTGCTGCCATTAAGTGTTCTGCCCTCAAATCAAAGCAAAATTGATTTGAGAATTTCATTTCTTTAGCTTTCCTATATTCTTATGGGTTCTCGCTTACTTCCATATTGATTATCACTCTATTTCTCTTTCTCTGAGAAGGATTTTTCAAAAAACTTTTTATTTTGAAATAGTTTCAGACTTACAGAAATGTCGGAAAGATCATATGATGAGTTCTCATATACCCTTCACCCAACTTCCTCTAATGTCAGCATCTTACATAACCACAGTACCTTTATCAAAACTAAGACATTAACCCTGGTATAGCATTTTTAACTAAACTACAGACACTATTGTGATTTCATGTTTTTCCACTGATGCTGTTTTTCCTATTCTAGGATTAAGTACAAGAAGTCATATTGTATTTAGTTGCTGTCTCCTAGTCTCCTCCAAGCTGTGAAAACTTCTCAACGTCCTCTTGATTTTCATGAGCTTTACAGTGTGAAGACTACTGGTTGGGAACTTTGTATAATGTCAGTGAGGGTTTTTTAACATCCTTGAGTGAGGCTGATTCTGCTGGTCAACAGGCCTTCTGCTAAACAAAGTTATGCGGCCACAGTGCAAAGGAGGTAGAATAATCTAATCCAACAGTATCATCTCGTAGTTTTAGAAAATAAGGTACCAATAACATTTTTAAAGGTAAAGAAATAAACACTAAACTCCCACAACCCTGTTTGGTAAGACTACAGAATTCATGATCACTGAGAAAAACTGTGTGATACTTACTAGTGAGAATTGTAAGCAAGAAAAGATACTCAGTATATGAAATGAGCCCTGAAAGAGATAAAATAAAAACATTGGAAAATAAGTTTTCGGTGGTTTAGAAGTAATCATATACACACTATACAGAAACTTCACCTAGTTCAAAACACATTTTTACTTTAAATTATGTCTCTTTGGTACAGTGGGAAACTTTTATAATAGTGATCTAGGTACAGTGCTAATACTTAAAAAAGATACTAGGTTTCACCAGGTTACCAGTATTAGTAAGAAGCAGGAATGGGTGCTGGCTGGGAAATATTATAACAGGTACCACTGGAGATTTTACCTGCATGGCATGCACTTTATGTAACTGCTACTCAAATTTTACTATTAATAACGTCTCCAGTAAAGCAAATGTATAAACTGAGTAGAACAACAAGAGATTTGCATATACTGAGGGTCAGACTACACATTTCAATGGAAACAATGAAATCTCTGTGGCAGTATTGCTTTTCCTCTGGGCAAGCTCTCCTTCCCACTCCAACATGTGGTCTGGGTGGGACGGCCCATCATCCCCTTCCAAGGCAGATGCTGACGGTCTTGGCAGTCACTGTACCCTGCAAAGCTGGTGCAGGGACGGCCCGCAGCTGACCCCGGCTCGCCATCAGGCTGCCTTTGTCTGGCTGCAGGGCTACGCTGGGCCACGCAGGGTGGGATCTCTGTAGAGACACTGGATCACTCACTTCATCTCCCCCACAGGCTTTGCTGTGAGAATGTCTCACTTAGGATTTAGGGTCACGGAGACAGTCCACAGTGCAGCCAGTTCCTAACTGGCAGGCCTGAAGGATGGACGCTGGTGATGTCCAACCCTGGAGTAAGCTGTGGTTGAAGCTCATTCTCTGTCCCGCCATGAGCCAATCATGGCTGAAGCCAATACATGTAATTACTCACCATATTATTCTCTCTACTTTTGTATGTGGCTTAAGTTCTCCATGATAAAGTTTATGAATTGTGCAATTTGCTATTATTCTAAGTTTATGATCCAGAGGGAAATTTCTTTAGCTTATCAAGAAGCTATGATTTTGTTTATTTTTTTTTTTTAGCTGAGCCTTCCTGCTACCTGTTGGCAGCTCAGCGGCTGCTCAGCTCGGGCCGGGAAGAAGCTATGATTTATTAGATATGGTTTCTGTGTTTATTATGGTTCTTTTCATGGCAAGCACATAAAACCTGACACCACTTAGCTGAGTAGAAAGGAAGTTTATTTCGTGGCCAGACGGTCTTGTTTAATTGTACCTTCTCACTCCCTTTCCCTCACAAATCCCATGTGTCATATCATTTCATAGTGGAGAATTCAGGCTGCATCACCAAAGGGACTGCTTCCTAACCTCAAATATACAGCAGTGCCAAAAAAATGTATACACATTTTAAGAAAGGAAAAAACTATATTAAAATTGTAATACTCAATATATACCATCAACAAAAGATGAATACAAGTCACGTTTGACTTCTGCAATTACAAGAGGTGCTCAAAGTGGTTATCATCAGCATAATTTTAATATAGTTTTTTCCTTTCTTAAAATGTGTATTCATTTTTGGCATGCTCTGTATTTACCACACCTAAAAACTTATCAATAATTCCCTAACATTATCAAATTAAAATCAGTGTTACACATATCCCTGCTTCAGAAATGTTTTAAAAGTGTGCTCAAATCAGGATTCAAAGAAGTTCCCTCCATAGCACTTAGCTGATGGTCTCAAGTCACTTTTTTTTTATTGTGGTAAAATATGCACAACATAAAAGTTACATTGCAGCCATTTTAAAATGTACAGTCCAGTGGCATTAAGTACATTCACATTGTTTTGTGACCATTATCAGGTTTTCCTTATCACAACCAGAACCCCACAAACACCAGGTCCCCATTCTCTTGTGTCCCCAGCCCCTCTAGTCCACTTCTGGTCTCCGTTCGAGGGACTTCACGTGGGGGAGTCTTACAGTACGTGCCCTTTGTGACTAGCTTATGTCACTGAGCACGATGTACTCAGGCTCACCCATGTTGCAGCCTCTGTCAGAATCTCATTCCTTTTTAAGGCTGAGTGATATTCCATTACACGTTTATGTCGCATTGTGTTTACCCATCATCAGTGATTGTTCCCACCTTTGGCTGTTGCGAACAATGCTGCTACAAACACTGGTGTACTAACTAATACCTGTTGAGTCTCTGCTTTAATTCTGGGTAAATACCCAGAAGAGGACCTACTGGGCCCCGGGGAAGTCTCTGTTTCATTTTGTGAGAAACCCCCACAGGCTGCAACATTTTACATACCCACCAGCCGTGTGCAAGAATTCCAATTCCTCCACATCCTTGCTAACACTTGTTATTTTTTTTCTTGATAATAATGAGTGTGAAGTGGTATCTCATGATTTTGATTTGCATTTCCCTGATGATTCATTAGTCATGGTGAGCACCTTTCATGTATGAATTAGCCATTTTATACGTCTTCTTTGGAGAAAAGTCTATTCCACTTGCCCACTTGTAAATTGCCCTGTTTGTTTTTGGTTGTTGAGTTTAGGAGTTCTTCACACATCCTGGATATTAGCCCCCATATATGAACTGCAAATGTTTTCTCCCATCCTGTGGGTTGCCTTTTCACTCTCTTGATGGTATACTTGATTCACAAAAGTTTTTAAATTTTCTTTTGTTCCCTGTGTCTTAAATCTCTTTTAATCTAGAGGTTCTTCCTTGTCTTTTTTTCTTCCTCTCTTTCACCTAATTTGTTGAAAAAGCCTGGTCATTTGTTCTGTAATTTCTTATAGCCTAGAACATTTTGATGACTGCATCTTCTTGGTGTCACTTCACATGTTCCTCTGACTTTCATGTTTTCTCCAAACTGGTTCTTCAAGCCAGAGTCATGCTGTACACACCGGGAGGCCACAATGCACATGTTTACAGAAAATGTGAAGTGCCGCTGTGATGCTGAGGGTAAGAGTTACAGGGCTTCGAGAAAATGCGAAATCATTTCCAGAGTTTGGATGATCAGAGGTGTAATTCTAAAAGTGGTATTTGAAGGATGGGTGAATTTTAATTAAGCAGGTGTGCCATAACTGGGAAAGCCACATAAGATAAATAAAGCTGAATGTTAAAATGAAAAGGAGACTGTCTGAGGTAGTGTCCATGTTGGCGGGGGGAGGGGGGGGCGGCGGGAAGAGGGGGTGAAGCAGTATGGAAATACAGAAGTGAGGAGCACAGGCTCAAGGGGATGATGATGGCCATCAGGGGACTCCCTCCACCCCCAGGCTCAGGCCCCACCCCCGGCTTCACTTCCCAGTCACACAAAACAGACACTCTGGCCAGAGCAGTTCAGAATAAGGCAGAGAAGGATTTTTACATACAGGTAATTCAGGCATGCATTTTAAATGTTCTGAATGATTTTTTTGTACCACCACCTTTTCTATCATTGTTTTTATTTTGGAGCAGGTGTACTTCTCTTTAGTAAAAAAGCCTATAGTAAGTCTTCAGATTTTTTTTTTCTTAAAAATATTCAGTGTTGGGCCGGCCGAGTGGCTCCGTTGGTTAAGAGTTAGCTAAGAGCATGAGCTCTGAGCAACGGGGCCGCTGGTTCGATTCCCACATAGGCCAGTGACACTGCACTCGAGCTGAGCTGCCACTGAGCTGCCAACAGGTGGCAGGATGGCTCAGCTGGTGAAAGCACATGCTCCTATCAACAAGACTGCCTGTTTGATGGTGGGCTACGCCCGCCTGCAACTAAGACTGAACTTGGCACCTTGAGCTGAGCTGCTGCCCGGATGGCTCAGTGAATAGAGCATGCGCTCTTAACAACAAGCCTGCTGGTTTGACTCCCACATGGGATGGTGGCTACGCCCACCAGCAACTAAGATTGTAACACAGCACCTTGATCTTGGAGGCCACAAGCTGCCGACGGGAAGCCAGATGGCGACTGCCTCCCTCCACAACTAAGGTTGAAGAACAACAGCTTGGCTGGTCCCTCTCCCCAATTCCCCAACACTGTTACCCTCCCCCAATTCCCCAATTTAAAAAAATAACCAGCTAAGGAAAACAAAAAGGTTTATAAAAATATTCAGTGTTTATATGAAGGGGGAATAAACTGAATGCCTTTTGTCATATCTTGTACCTGAGAGAAGTGCTCTAATCTTAGCTGAAAAGCATTTTATCCCTTGATGGCCTCATAAAAAGGAAGGAGCTCTTTTCTGATTTTCAAAGGAATATGGTAATGTGAAGAAATGGCCAAACTGCTAGATGGAACTGGGCTTGATGCCAAAAGGGGACCTCACTTTTCTTTTCTCCTGACACAGATGCCGTCTTTTACACAGGGTAACTTTTTGAAAAAGAAATTCCCAGAATCTTTCTTTGAAATACTGATGTAAACATAAAACTTGGATAAACACAGAGTTGAGACAGTGTAGGATTATAAACAGTATATTTCTACAATAGCATTTTAGGCATCTGCCCTGTGAAAATGCTTTTTAAAAAACTGACACTTTAGAATATTATAGAAGAAACAATTTAATACACATTTGTTACATTTAATTGTAAAATAAATACCGTTAAATGGCAATGTTTCAAAACCACCTGTCAAATAGGGAAGTATTTTAAATAATTTATATTTTAAAATTTGTTAAAGAATCCTTATGGGCCACTAGAAGAGATGATTAAATTCTGTTACTATGCTTTTCTGTGAATATTTTTAAATTGGAACCATTATAAAATATGACTTGCTACTGAGTGCAATTTTGAGAACCCTGTTCCCCAAAGAGAAACAACATATCTTATAATTTAGATTCAGTCCATCTTTGGGGATGGTATTAAAATGAGAATTCTGTTCAGTTTTAAAAAATACATAATAATTATGATTTACAATTTCCTTTTTTTTATAATGTATGGTTAGCGACATTATTTTCTTATTTCTAGAATGTAGTGCCTTTTATCAGTTATGATATAGTAGAAATTCTGATAGTTCTTTTATGTGGATTCTTCTTCTTTAGCTACTCTGCCTCATCTCTTCTCTCCAGGCTTTAATGAAAATCAATGTTTGGATAATTTATCTGTAATTGCTCAAAGAGTTTGAGAAAGTTACTTCCTACTTAATGAGTATTTTATTATGATTTAAAAATATCAATAACATAGTTATAACATTCTCTATGTAGATTCTCTACTGTAGATTCTCTAGGATACAGCTGCAAACCTCATAACTTCATCCCTTAATAATACTTTCATTAAATAAAACACATTAAGTACAAACTTGACAAATCAAAGTTACCTTTATCACCAAGGTCTCTGAAAAAGGTCCGTCCACAACCAGCTGTTTGGACTGCTGCCAGCACATCCTCCATATCCTTTGAATATACATATTTAAGTCTTTTAATTTAACTTACAGAAGTTCATTTTCTATCTTGTAAAAAAAAGGAAGGAGGGGAGGAAGGAAGGAAGGGTGGAAGGAAGGGAGGTGGGAGGGAAGAGGAGGAAAGGGGGAAGGAAGTAAAGAAGGAAGGAAGGAAGGAAGAAAGGAACCCTCTCCGCCCCACACATTGCTTACCTTTTTTGTGAGCTTCTTGACTGACGTTTTACCTATAGCCAAGAAGAAACGTTATTTAGTACCCATATTCCTCAGTGAAACTCAACTTCCATTTAAAAGACAAAACAAACAACTAGATATTTAAAAAATTAAAGTTTGACAATTTTAGCTAATATCTTTAAGTGAAAGTTATGAGCCAGAGAATCCTAAGTCTAAACACAAAGACACTGTGTGTTCTTTGTAAGACTTACTAATATTTTCAGTTTCACTCACCCCATTTCAGACACATGAAATCTTTTTTTAATTGAAGTATAGTTGGCATATAGTATCCTATTAGTTTCAGGGGTGTATATAGTGATTTGGTATTTATATACATTATGTAATGACCACGATAAGTCTAGTTACCATCTGTCACCATACAGTCATTACAATATTACTGACTGTATTTCCTGGGCTGTATGTACTTTACACCCCCTTGACTTATTTATTTTATACCTGGAAGTTTGTTACTTAATCCCCTTCACCTACTTTGGCTTCCCCTCAGCCTCTCCCCGATCTGGAAACTACCAGTTTGTTTCTTGTATCTATGAGTCTGTTTCTGTTTTGTTTGGTCATTTGTTCTTTAGATTCCGTATATAAGTAAAGTCATATGGTATTTCTTTCTCTATCTGACTTATTTCTCTTAACATAATACCCTCTAGGTCCATCCACTGACATATGAAATCTTATAACTATCTCTGACTTATTTTAAGTTGTCTGCATCATAAATTCTTGCCAAACATGATTTCTTTCTTCACATAATTATTAAAATCTGCCTCTTTTTTGCTTTCACTGATTAAAAAAATACACATGCATGCTTTAGAACGCTACCTTTTTGAACCCTGAAAGTTCTCTTAAGCTTATAGCTTCTCCAAATTTAAAAGGCTAGCCAACATCATTGTCCATTCTAAAATGATGTTACTTTTATTAATTTCCTAATGGGTAACAGAGATCTAAGGTCCTTTCAGGTTTTCAGCCATATTCTCTACTGCTTACATCACTTTCCTCTCACCTTCTATTGGAAAAGTCATGACGCATTTTTGCAACAAAAAACAGAAAAAATACATCATGACTTTTCTGACAACCCAATATAATTCTAAAGCTATCACAGTGCTTCTTTTGTTGAGACTTGCTCTATAGCTGCAGGCCTCATACAGCTAGAACAATGCTGTAAAATGTTGTTTCTTACATAAGCGACGTGCATCACAAACTTCCCTTCCTGTTCTCAAATTATCTATGAAGCTCCTTAAGTACAATTACATGGTCTATGAAAATTCAGGTGACAAGGTAAAGAAATGAACACTTTTACATGTGCCTTTTTTTCTAGTTTGGGAGGCTTAACTTGGACTACAAATCAAGTGGGGACAAATTCTATTATTTGGTCTTGTCAAGATTTTGTTTTTGCATTATTAATCAAAACAGTAGTTGTAAATGTGATTAAATAATTTTTAGATACATCTGTGACCATGTTTGTAATCTTAGGTATTACAATTTGGGATAATTTTTATTTACTGACACACTATTATGTGTCACCTGATGACAAAGAACCCTAGATTCAAATGTTAGGTGCTACCCTGTGATGTCATCAAATAGATAAAGTCACCATTTAACTGACAACTCCCAGTGTCTGTGTGGATATGTAAGTAGACTATGTGGTAATACAATGCTGATGACAAACCCCGAAAAGTGTGTAACACATGTGTTACTTGTCTTTCCTATTCTGTCAACTTAGAAAAAGAAACTGATCATGATTAACATGACTTACTTTGCTTTTCTTAAAGTGGTGTCACAAATTATTCATTACCATATGTGCTTTCATTTGTAAACAATTAAGGTTAGTTCTATCATTTTTTTAAAGAGAGATTAGTCCTTGCTCCCAACTGAAAAAGTATTCTAGGAAGTAATAACTGACATCTTGCAGGTGACATCTTGAGGTAGCAGTATGGATGGTTTCTAAGAAATAAGATTACTTCTAAATAAAGCTAGATTCCTTTCTGGCCTTTCAGAAATCTTTGTGCTTAAAATAAATCCTTCTACTTGAAACTGAGTAAGGAAAGAAGTTGAAGTATGCTTCCTGTAGCTGGAGTCTCGATGCCAAACAACTGAGCCAGTACAATTCAACACTATGTGAGTGAAATACAATAAAGGCAAAAGCGAACTGACTAACAGGATACCAGCAGCACAGCTCAGAATACATTGTGCAGCCCTACTGAGGCAGATTCCACGTCTGGTTTACCTTATGGGGCCCAGGGCTTAGCATGTTAAGTATTTGTTGAATCAATAATTGAATAAAAAGTTAGAAAGGGTTCCAGATGTCTTTTTACCCAGATCCCTGCCTTTTGCTGGTTAATAAATTATTTTCCCTACTTTACAAATAAAGCAGATAAGGCCCAGCGATGGGCGAGAGGAGTGAGGTCACGATGTGGACAATGGAGGGTTTCTTTCTCATACAGATTTTTCAAAAACAGGTGGTGGACACCTTGGAACGTGCAGCCTACTTTCAACCCCTCATAAGCCTTCACATAACTGAAGAGCTGGGCACAATCTGATCACAGAGGCAGTTCTGTGCTTTTGATTGTCACTCAGAATGATAACACTGGCTATTTCATGTTGATTACAAGTTCTGCCTGGTATTGGCATATATATTGAATTATCAGAAATGGAAAAACTATGTACTTAATGAGCTTCTCTTGTAAAAAAAATAAAAATGCAATCAATAATTAGAAAATTATAAACAAATAATCTCTGCTGATAAAAAGTTTGGGGGGGCAATGGTCTTACATAAAATTCACTTTTATTAAAAAAAAAAAAAAAGGTAAGGCAGAGCTACCAGGCATGGACACCTCTCTCTCTCACTTCCTCTTTCTTCCAGGTTAAACTTGTCGCCGAGTAAGAGAAGGGTCAGCAGGGGGGTCGTCTTGCCCACGCATGTCCACTGTCATGCCACTTGCTCTCGGTTGTAGCAGCAGAGACCAGGGCACCAACAGGGGCCCAGGGTCCGAGTTGTTGTATCACGAGCAGGAACAACACAGGACACAGTAAGCAGCACCACACATTTTGGGCCACAGTTTTCTATTGAAGGATGAAACCCATCTGTAAATAATCTAACTTTTCCTTCAGGTTTTTCTAATTTGGGGGTCTATTTCTTTGGGGGCAGGGGAGGAGAGGACTCCTGCTTGTCTTTCTTTGGCTATTTCTACTTTCACACTCATTCCAAAGTTCAGTCTTAACTTTCATAGCTATTTCATGTACATCCATGCATTCATATATGGAAATAACAGAATGTGGGAAACTTAGCAGAGAAGCAGGTCCAGAACAGAGCTGTGAGGTTTGCTGTACAACATGAAAGATTGGGAAACACAATGGCTGTTCTTGGCAGGTGTGTGCAGCTCTCCTAGCAATAGGTTGGGGTTCTGGCTCAGGAAGCAGGATGTTTCTAAAGGTCTCCACCTATTCTGGAGTCCACCAAGTGAAAAACAGGAACAAGTATATCTCGTTATAGGCAAACAGCAATTTTAATATTTAAATATGCAAAACTACATTCATACATGTTAAGTGTCATTACTGTTCAAATAAATCTTTGCCTCTAGCCAAAGCAAAATCATTTGATAATCACAACTATAAAAGTTTTACTAGTGGTGTCTGATTCAATTTCATTTTGCTGGAGGTAAGTGGACTTCTGACACATAAAAATTAGACAACAGAGACAGTTCCATCACTTCATATCTTGCATAAATATGCAGAACAACTTGGCATCAATATTAGGATTAGGAGGAGACAGAGCTGATCACTCCAATACTTGGTTGAATTCAGTCCCAGCTATTATGCAAACCAAGGCAGCACATGACACATTAGCAAAGTGACTAAACTAATACCACCAATATCACTAATAAAAGTGGAGACTGCAGAAAGAAAAGGATGACAAATTCAATGGTGTTATTTCCTTCAACAAAGCATATGGCTTGTTTATTTTTGCTGGAATACTTAAATGGTGAGAATGAGAGATACCATCTGGTTGTCGTTTCTTCTAGAAAGAGACAAATGGTGAACCCCTCAAATGACCAAAACGCCTTCTTGTCAACTTTCCTAAGTAGGATCTTGAGATACATTTAAATTGTTTTTCAAAAGAAAAAAAAAAAGAAATGTGCCCTTTTGTGCAACCTCAAGCACTGTGAAATAGGAAAAACATTATATGCAACTACCTATTGAATGAATTTGAAAAATGGATATAAAGGGGTAAGTACAGCAGCTAAGAAACTAAATAATGAGGCGAGGTGAAGGGAAAACTTATCCAAATAAGAGATGTTTAAATCAAGACCTGAAGAATTACCCCCTTTACCCTGCGTATCACCCCCTTATCCATGGTTTCACTTTCCATGATTTCAGTTACCAGCGGTCAATCATGGTCTGAAAATATTAAATGGAAATTCCAGAAATAAACAATGCCTAAATTTTATTATTTAAAAAAATTTTAAATATATTTATTATTATTTTTTTAAAGATTTTATTGGGGAATTGGGGGAGGGAACAGCGTTGGGGAAATCGGGGAAGGGAAACAGACAAGTTGCTGTCCTTTTGTTCTTCAGTCTAGTTGTGGAGGACGTTGCTTCACTGGCCCATGTTGGTATTGTGATCACTGCGCTCTTCCCAGCTGAGGCAGATCAGTTGCCTGCCCTTGGCTGCTCAAGGCAGCTCACAGCAGCTCACGCCAGCTGCCGGCTACTCATGCTGGCTGCCGGCCACTCACGGTAGCTTACGGCAGCCCACTGCAGCCCCACTGTAGCCTATGCCATCGTCGGTGACTCACAGCAGCCCAGCTCCAGGTTGAGCTGTTGTTCACCATCTTAGCTGTAGAGGGCGCAGCGTCACTGGCCCATGTGGGATCCAAACCGGAGGCCCTGCTGCTCAGAGCTCATGCTCCCAAGCCAACTCTTAACCAATGAGCCACTTGGCCGGCCCACAATTCCTAAATTTTAAATGTGCGCTGCTCTGAGTTAGCGTGATGGAATGTTGA